TTCCTATGTTCTGCTAATCTAACTGACCCCAACCGGCTAGTTTGACCTATGTATTTGACCTCACAGTCATTACATGGAATTTGGTAGATTACGTTATTTTACCTAATTGGTTCTATCGGATCTTTTAGCCGACAAAGCTTACCTCTAAGTGAGTTTGTTGGTTTAAATGCCACCCTAATTCCAGCCTTGTTGAGAATCCTACGTATGGTTTCTGATGTTCCTTCCTTGTATGGTGTCACAATAGAGGTGTTGATTTCCTTTCTACTTATGTTGCTGCTATTATTTGTATTTGTATTAGTGTTATTATTTTGCTTCTTATGTGTTTGTGTGAATTTCTTAATAAAATGATGGGGATAATTATTAATTATTAACGCTTCTTTTATGTGTTTCAATTCCTTTTTAATGTTGGAAACTGAAAACAAAACAGGGAATCACATATGGCATATACAAATTCTGTTTATAAAAAGTGAATCTATGAAGAATATTAAAAAAGCAGGTATTTTGAAACCTTTAAGTGATAATCAAGCTTTGATCTTATGAACAAAACTGATTTTCAGGTTAAAACTCTCCTGAGACGCAGCTTTGATGCATATAACGACACTGTGACGCTCTGCAGTCAAGAATTGAGTTAAATACTATGAAAATAAACGAAAGCTTACTTTTAAACAGCATTTCATTCACAAGGGATTTTGGTAACAAAAAATGCTTGGATAAACAGTCTATCGCTCAATAAAACTTACTAACTAAAAATAGATGATTTTGTGCACAGCGCCATGAATTACTATGTATATTCTATGTATCATGGAATACTGAACGTACTACGTATGAAAGCAACCAACTCACTGGCGGTATTTTATAATTGTACACCTGGAATTCGTCGACAGTAAGTAATGCAACACACTGTGATAGTCCCATACTTACATAGATTGGCGTTCATATTTTATTAATTTGCCAGAACTTACGTATTATTTGAGGAATCCGTTTTACTGACTACGTTTTCCATAAGTTCATGTAGACAATGAAGTTTGAGAGACTTTTCAACACCTAAGATTCTGTTTTTACTTATCCACAATGATCACTGTGGATCAGGTATTACCTGCTGCAGTACTACTCATCTATGACATCTCCCAAAGCAGCTGTTTCTGTAAAGTAAGATAACTATACATAGATATGCATATGAAATACGTTACTCTGAGGAAATAACATTTTACACCATGTTAATCAATTAACTTTATACTCAAACTTTAACAGGGCACCTTACTGTTCATAACTCAGTTCATTTGATGAGCAAACAGTAGCAAATGTGCAAAAGTTATCACCAAAAATAATTTAATAATAATAATAATATCTATAAACCTCACAGAAGAAAATAGATAGTGAATCAAGAATAATAAGAATGCCAGGAACACGCTAAAACGCCTTGATCAATAAATATAATGCTTACACTAGGTGATAATTGATTGTGAAATGAAAATTTGGACCTCAGCAGGATTCGAATCTGCAACCATCGGGTTTCCGGCTCGATGCTCTACCATCTGATCTACAAGGTCCAACTGCTAACCAGCTGTTTATTTCACTTCAGTCACTAAGGGTTTTATCAGACTATCATGTTAATTCACGACGCGATGTAACCACTTGATCGCATTCCCACTGGCTATCTAGTCAGGACTTGTCATTCCAATCTCAATCTAAATGAATTAGAGAGGGAAGGTATCATACTAATGATCATTCTGACTACCTGAGATAGCCATCGTTTCTGACATGTTTGTTTTGAACAAACACAACTGCATATAAACCATTCATTTTATTTTTTGGTAGAAGTTTTGTAAAACATGAACACAAAATAGTAAAAGTGCTTATGGCTATCAACCTATAATAATCAAAATCAGTCACCATATAGTGAAAAATAGGAAAGTAATTTGGCGAAGTGAAAATATCAGGAATTTGAAAGAAAAGTTGATGAGTTTTATGACGAAGTTATAAAATGGATATTTCAGTGGAGTGAAAGTCCACATAAGGCTGATTGATATTGACGGAAATACAAATATTATGGAACCTAGGTAAGGAGAGTATTTGAGTCAATGAACAGATAAGTTGTTAGTAATTCGAAAACAAAATGTAACACTATATAGTGAGAAAACACAGTAAAGCTTGGTGTAACATTAAAAATACACAAAGATGATAATGTAATTGGAAAAGCGATCAGTTTAAAAAGTAAGTCGTTGTATATTTTGAAGGTCAGGGACCGACTGTTTTTGAATAAACAAAATACATGAACAGAATGTTTCACTACCAGCTATGCCAAGGATGATTGCGTCACACTACCACAAAAAGGCTCACTGGTGCTAGGGACATCTACGACCTGTTCATCGGTTGGCTAAATACATTCTAATAGCCTCTTCTCAGTTTGTTAAATTAGTTAATCAGCCCAATATCTTCGATACACTATCTTCTTCCCATTTTTACTTTTTCATTAAACTACAATACTTACGAGGATGTTGCTCTCTTCCCTTTACCAACACCCAAATGCAAGCTGCCACTTATGTAATCTCAATATCTTAAAAACAAATCTGAAGACCTGCTAAATTAGTGAATAGTACGGCATTTCCATGACTGTTTTCAGGCAGCAAATCCCGTCCTACGAAAAAACTGACGATTAAGTATATACTGTTTGCTCTTTTACAAACTATCCATCGTCTTTGTCATGGAATGGTTGGAAACACCGGTCTTTGTATTCAATGGTCACAGAAGTGACTCTGCATTTGAATTTATGTGACTGTTTTTGTAATGCATATTTAAGTTATTATGAAAGATTGTTCATTCAAGAAGAATATAAGGTTTACTTATTGTCAACCCCTATTCCTAGTGCATACAGTTCAAGAATGTAACTTTATACTGAATGAAGACGAAATTTAGGGTTTTTTTTAAAGTCATTCAATGGAAAGTAATGAGTTTTAAAGTGGGCTTCTTTTGATCTACTGCGTTTTTTGTGTTTTCATGACTGAAGTCTTTAGTATGATTAAGAAGGATAGAACTGGCTGTCCGTCTCCGTCTGACGGCTTCGATTGTGATATGTTTTAAGAATAACAAGTAGGGAAGTGATTCCTCATCTCTAGTGTTCAGTCTATCCATCTCTTACTTCAATAACTATAAAAATTCCTACTGCTGTACATAAGAAATGTCTTCCTATTTCTTTATTCTGATACGATACTGGATGTATATTATAACGAGTTTCAATCCGATGGGTGCCATTTGACTGAAAAATACGATCAAGGTTTGGACTCAGTGTCCCATGTGTTACTGGCTTTATTACTTGTAGGATCTGTACCTCTGGTAAATAGTTATCACTAATGCTGTGGATGGGAATAAAAATGCTCTTACGGCACCTTGTATTGCTGACATACAGGATAAATCTATTTTCAGAGTAACAATAATGATATTTACAGAGGTATTACAAGCAATTCGCTTTAAAACCAGTTACTCCTAGCTCACCATATACTATCATCGGCCTTATGAGTTAACGGTATCCGTCTGTTTTCGATACAAACGCAGATACAAAAAATATGTTTATTGTGGTACGTATAAACAGCTTATTAGGGAACTACCCATAGCAGTTTATCAGAGAACATATCATTGATATTTTCCTAGACTACTACTCTTCAAGGAGAACATGTTTTCATTTCTAGAAAATTCAGTTATGCAAATGGATTTATTTTCACCTTGGTGACTCACAGTGAAATCCAGGACTCTAACGTTTCGTCCTACCTGAGACTTGCCAACTCGAAGTGCATGCCTCACAGTGAGTACTGTTTTCCACATTGAGACTGAAACCCAGTACCCACTGCTTCAATCTCCAAAATGTTATCCATCAATCCACTGAGGTATGAGTCTCAATGAGAACAATATCAGTCACTGAAGTGTTAGTTCATCCAGCTGACGACTCTCGAATAAGGCAAAACCGGCGTTCTAGGATTCACTGTGAGTCACCAACATGAATGTGACATCGATAACATCCGGTAGTTTCGAGGCGTCCGCATAATAGTCCATTTACCAACAGAGGTCTAGCGATTCTATACTATATAACAAAGATAAATTGCAAGTATCGAGTTATATGGGTGTGATTTCTGGATCCTATTACCATCACCAAGGAAGTGATATCTACTGCTTCATTCAGTCGCTGGAAACTGAAAACTTATTACATAACATTTGTGCCTGTGGATGGTATAAGTGGCGCATTATACATGTAATTCTGACAAAAAAATCACAGTCTTTACAACTATGCCATAGTAGTAAAATATGAAGTGAAATCGAAATCCTACGTGTCAGATAATATGTAGTAGATAACTGTCAAGTCTAGTCGAGAAACTGTGTAGTGGAAAAGAACAAAGTTGCTTGTCAATCAGTGTATCACCTCAAACAAACTCATACTCAAACCGTCAAAGGTAAATCAACTGGATAGAGTAGAGCAAGTGCGTTTATTCTTTGCAAACAAGCTGTATAGCTTTCGACCACAGCTAATATTGAATCAGTTGAACTTCAGATTGATTTAACCGCAACTTCAAATTAATATATTTTTAGATTCACAATATGAATGGTAAATAGAATATAATTTCGATTACCGAATAAACATTTCAAAAAGAACACTACTCATCACTTCGAGAAGTGGATTTCTCCACTTAAAAATTATATTTCAAAATTATTTACAGAAAAACTTACAGCATTTCTTTTTACACCTATTTAAATGCATGACGAATATGAAAACTTAGTGAAGTGTTAACAAAATCAGATTAGATCAGTTATAACTCGTTGGAATCACTTGTTTTAATATTGTGTAAAACATATAAAATGAGAATCACACTCCCTTCATAGACACTAAATTTTGCTTGTTTTATTCTAGAAAGTTATGTCATTTTGAAATATTTAGTGAATCACAGGTATCTGACAGATGAGTTTTCATTTAAATGTCATAATTGAATGTAAATAGACATAATTTCATTTGGTCATAATGCGTTGACAGAATTATTAGAAGTAATAATGTTATCATCAACATCTGGATGATTTATCTCTGTCTTTGTTATAAGAGCGTCATTCAAGGTTAACTTTGGTATATTTGGTTGTATTTCTGGAAGGGGATCCAAAGTTTCCTTCATAAAGCAAAATCGTAGATCAATACATAACAGAATACTATGAATAAGGCACAAAAAGGCAATTATAACATTAATAATCCCCATAACTAACATGCTTGTCTTAGGTATCGATTTGTCTACATACTGTTGTATAGTTGTACAGGCGATTGCAACTGTCATAATGAGTGGAAATATGCAACTAACAACACTGACTGTATCCCATATGTCTGAATCACTTAGTCCAGCGATTAGAGTAGAAGCAGCTGTTAGAATAAGTAAACCTGCAGGAATATAACCAAATGGAATAAGAACGGAAGGCCAAGCCATATCGGATTCCTTATGAACAGAATACGAAAATACTGTTTGTAAAATTATTAGTGTTAGACTTGCACAAAGTATCACACAAGAAGATGATATATGATACAATGCAATTCTGATTATTTCAGATCTTTTTCTGTCGGTCTCCATAGCCAATGGTAGTATATCCACAGGTAATATTCCTTTATTCTGTCAGTAACGGTACTTTGTGAAAATAAGAATTCTTCTTCAATAATAATAGGCTAGCTGGAATGTATCAATATCGCTTGAGCTAAAATCACACATTCCCAGAGCTTCATACTGACTTGTTTTTTCAGATTTATGCTTTGAAGACTTCACAAGAACAAATAAGCAGTACGAAATAATGTGATAGTCATGCCAGTTGACCAAAGGTTTTAAACACAGCAAAATGGTCAATGCTGATTGGTTGTTAATATCTTTATTCCATTTGTCAAATAAAGACTAGCAGACAGACATTTAAATTGCACGTGCATTACATAATTAATTAGTTTGACAGTTTCGCTTGAGCCTAATTGTTAAATCCATGATGACATGCAATCATGTGCATCTGTGTTTTCAAACCAAATTAGTGACTGTTTAAGTAATGTAACCACATAGGAAGCTAGTGGTGGTTTGAATAACAGAGATCACGTTTCCAACTTCAGAAGAGTGATTCCAAAAGCCACCCTAGTAATCACTAAGATAACCAACCCGGTTTCTCTATTTCACCTTGATCTGTCGTTTTAATAATACATGGAAATTGAATGGCCTTTAAAGTCAGTGCTTCAGGACTAAATAACCCAGATTGAAATCACTACAGCTGAATTTAAGGCCCAACGCGGCAACCACCTAAACAATTGATCAGGTGAAAAGAAGAGATAATTCAGCCAAGGTAATTTTTTTATTCAACGATATCATTTTCTAGAGCTGTATAATCGTGTTTATATGTATCATAAACATATAAGAGTCTATTATTAAACAATATGGTATAACCCTAGAACTAACAAACCGGAATCAAGAATGTAAAGTAGTTGCGCGATAACCTTAGACAGTAGAAATAACGAGGAAGGCAAGGAGTTTGACAAGATGAAAATTATTGCGAATACTGAGTGTCCACTTGATAGATAGATGTAAAGAAGGTGAAGAATGAGACAAGGGTCCTAATGAAGGTGATAATAAGAGATTAAGATAAGAGATTAAACATACTTCTTTTGAAAGCATAGATCAGGTTTGATATAATGAATTGCCAGTGCTTCCCCTGTGCACAACTATCAGAAGGTGTACTCCTTTTGAACTATTCCATTTGATTCGATAACTGACACTGAAGGAGGATTCTGGATTGCGCAAATACATTACATTTTCCAGATAATCTTCGTCTTCTAAAAACGTTATCGAAATTTATCACAGGGACTAATTGTTTCAAATACAGGATAGTGCTCTGAGATACGTTTGAAAAGTATGAGCTTTGTGAGGCCTATATAACTAGCTCTCCAGGAGCGAATAAACTTGTAGACACATATTGAGGTGTCATAAAGAGGCAACTTGTCCTTAACGCACTCCGGAGTCAGTTGCTAACTAGAGAAGCTGATCTGCAGCTTCACAGAGAAGAATGTTTTCTTCAGTGATCTGGACAGCCGATTCTTCAGGATCTCTCCTGCCGTATTGCCTTTGAAACCAACGTTCACAAACTAGGTCTTCTTAGGAACTGTGAGTAATTGCTTCGTTTTCTGATTTAATTTCAAGTTCTTCTCAGTAAACCTGAATAGATATCCATTTTGCATGAGGATCTTCCGTATTTTGACAAATTCATCGTCGATAGTATCACTCGTGCAGATTCTTCTGATTCTTGAAGATAAAGAATGGATTAGATTCCTCTTTCTGCTAAGTGGCACCCAGCTATTTTCTGAACACTAACATTAAAATAATTCATTAGATGAATGAAAGTTCCATATTGTGGGTAATAGTTGAGCTGAACAAGTCTACTAGTAGGTTGAGAACTGATTTTTCTTCTTCGGATCCTTTGAAAAAAGTTTTTATGAGGAAACCCTTGGTGAATTTCAAAGAGGGTAATGGATAGAAACTAACTAGTTGGTCAGTTGATATTGGTTAGTGTTATCTTCCTTAGTCGATTGCGCGGACCAAATAATTTCGATTGAATTTACGTTAGGATCGTCCAACTAAGTAACCCAACATTATGTCTTACTGAGCTGTATGTTTGAATGATTTTTGCAGAACGCAGTAGATTTTAGCATGGAATCACTTTACTTGAAGACAAACTTACAAAGTCGATCAACAGACTTTTATCAGCAGCTAGGATGGGATTATCTAAAATTGGTTATGATTCAGTAACAGACCAGTGAAACTGGCTAAGTCTTTCAGGTGGCTTGAAAAGCACAATGACAACTTTGTGGACTTTGACTCTGAATAATGATGTCATTTTGAACCTCTCAGACAGCATGAATTCCTAGTGTAACTAAGACATTCTCCACTTTTGCTGTTAAAATGTTTATATGGTCACAAAAGGTAGATGATAGTCCCCGAAATAAAGCAAAATCATACTCTTATTATAAGTCAGTGACTGTTTTACGTTTCTTCAGATTGATAAATGAAGAGCAGGACATCGGAGCAAAATGATCCACTGCACAAAATTGATCTAAGAGCTTATAAACATCAATTTTTTCCGATTTCATGAAATTTATGAAGACTGGCTTTCTGTTGAATGATTTCATTCAGATCAAAACATAAAACTTTCTGAAGAGTTTGAAGTAACTCTGTTTAGAAATCCACAAGCACTAGCATCAAGAAAATGCATTCAGTAGAGCAGCCGGTATTGCTCACTGTAATAATCAAGTTAACACTTAATTAAAGAACCCGAATTTGCACTAGACGTATCACGCAGCGAAACAGAATGGTTTGATGCTAGACGTGAGGAGCCCTTAGATTTACTGCTTATTTACTCATGACATTCAGAACCAGTGTTCGGTGCATCACAGTGTCACACTAATTAGCTTAACGACCAGATTTAAAACTAGATCGATAGACTTCATTCAACGCTAAGAACAAAGGAATAAATACATACATGACTTACTCCATCGGTGATAAATTCCTGTGAAGTACAATTCAATTTTTAATGCTTTAAGCACAATAACATCAATGTAATCACACAATTCACTAACTAGCTTTCATACTTCTTCTGTTTTTCATTCTTTGCTATGTGGAAGACACTTTTTTCATCATTAAAAAGGGTGATATAGAAAACACCCACAATTTGATCAACAACGTTTTCAATGACATCAAATTCACAATGGAGAAAGAATCACAACCAACTACCACTCCTGGATGTTCTGGTCAATAGAAAAATACGGGAGGCTGGAAACCCAAGTGTGCAGGAAGCCAACACACACTGACCAAATCCTCAATGACACTAGCAATAATTCAACAACCCACAAGATCACTTGCGTACAGACTCCATTCAAAAGAGTGAGAACACACTGCAGCACAACAACTTCACGGAGAAACGAAGAAAATTACTTGATGTCCACCCTAAAGAAGAACGGCTACTCATGGAACTTTATCAGAAGATGCCTATTCCGTGCATCATCAACTACAAAATCATCGACACAAATCAATAAATGCATCATCCTACCATTATTATTATTTATTATTAGTCCCTTGGGTTCCTAGTAAAAATAGGGCTTCAGTAGAACGCACCCATTGCACTCTTCTCTGAAATCCTTTGAACCTGGCTCCACGACAGCCCACAAGCTCTCATTTCCTCCTCACAAGATCTCCTCCATGTCACCCTCTCCTCGGACACCCAACTCGTCACTTCCCATCTGGGTTCCACTCGAGTGCATGGCATGACGCGTGACGTTCCCAGTCTGCCTTCTCAGTCTTTGCCCAATCCAATCCATCTCCACTTCCTTCCACTGCATATTAGTTGGGTGATAGGTACTTGGTTGGTTCGTTGCCCGGCCAGAGTTCCTTGTTGCTCATTCTTATTATTCTGGCAATCCATCTCATCTTCAGTAACGAACCATTGTAGGCAGTTGTTGATGATGTGTGTCTATAGTTTGTTGGAAATCCCTTTGGTAACGCGCCAAGTCTCTCAACCATCAAACAGAATCACTGACTTGACGTTGGTGTTGAAAATCCGGATGTTGTTCCACATGCTGAGCGCAGAAGATCTCCACACTGGTTTCAGGCTAATGAACACCTGTCTTGCTGTCTTTCCGATCCTGACTTTGACATCCTCGTCTGTGCCTGTGCTGTCTGTAGTTGAAACAGTGCTGCCTAGATAGGTGAAGGAGTTTACTTCCTTTAAGTTTCTCCCGTTCATGATGATTATTGCTTGTTGTTGATGCTGTTGTTGGTTGGGTATCTTCATCACCTCTGTCTTCTCTATATTCACTTGAAGTCCTGTCTTCGCTGCCTCCCCTCTTTGTACAACTTGTTATTTTCCGCCTGTAGATCTTCAAGTTTATGTGACATCAGGCACAAGTCGTCGGCGAAATCCAAGTCTTCTAGGTTCTTCTCCGCAGTCCAGTGTATCCCCCTCTTCTCACAGCTCCCCACTGTTGTTGCTGCATGATCCAGTCGACCACAATCAGGAATATCATGGGGGATAGTAGGCAACCTTGTTTCACTCCTGTCTTCACTTCAAAAGCATCACTGAGCTTCCCACTGTGAACTACTTGGCTGGCATGTGGCATCTTCATATAGTTGTTGAATGAGGCTGATAAAGGTTTGTGGTACTCCGTAGTAATGAAGCAGTTTCCAAATTACCTCTCGGTCGACGCTGTCAAAGGCCTTCTCAAAGTTGATGAAGTTGAGGTAGAGAGCTGATTGCCATTCTATGCTCTGTTCTATGATGATAAGTAGTGTGGCGTTGCAATTTGATCTGCACATGATTTGTACTTCCTGAATCCAGCCAGCCAGCCAGCCTGTTCGGGTAGTAGTTTTGAATCCAGTGCATCTTTAAGCCTCTCCAGGATGATGCGGATTAATATTTTGCTTGCTTTGGGTGGACAGGAGAGTGATTCCGCGCCAGTTCTTACAAACATTCAGGTCTCCCTTCTTCGGCAGTCTGACAATGTAACCCTTCTTCCAATCAGTTGGCAGGTACCTTATCTTCCTTCCACATCTTCTGC